AGCGCCTCGCTGCGGGCCCGTCGGGCAGGCGGCCGCTGAGGAGTTCCAGGCTCGTAAAATGTGTAGGGATGAACGTTAAAAAGCAAGCTGTAGGAAGCCGTGGGGTTCTGCCGGGCTGGCCTCGAAAGGGTCATAACCTGAGCCCGCGGTTTTGTAATCAGCATTCCTGGCAGTGGTTATGTGAGGGATGTTCAGAGATGCTATGGATAAAGGTTGGAAATACAGCAAGGGTTATTAAGCAGATTTCAGAAGTTAAGCTAGTGCTTTCTTGAACGAGATGAAATGGGGGCAATCTGCCTAGTGTAGGTTACATGCTCACCGTCAGGTAGGTGGTTACTCTGGCTCGTCAGATGCTGGTTGCTGTGATAGGCAGGGCAGTTGCCTTGATCTAGCATTGCAGTGTGGCAAGCAGCCTCTGTTATGTTGCAGTCTTTCCGTTTTTCTGTTGAAGAAGCATGTTTGTATACAGTCATCAACTTGCCATTGCTCATCTCTCCAATTTTTTATCTATGTGGCTCAAAATCAGTTGAATTGCAGCAGTATAAAACTGAAGGAATGCTGTTACTCTGCACTATGGTGTTGTCTGCTTAAAAATAACCAATGAGCATTTAAAAAGTAAATACTGGTTTTGATTAATATTTTATTTTGTTGTGTACAGAATGACAGCTGTTCCAGTACTGCCGGTGCTAGTCAACAATTTCAGAACTGGAAGATGAAAGCTGAACAAGCTAAGAAAGTTGAATTCATAAGAACTGCAGGAAAGCTAAAAACTCAGTAAGTTAAATACTTCATCATGAGTATATCTTCATGCTCTTCTGTAGGTGACATAAGGTTCAAGGTAAGAATTTATGGTAATGAAAGGCTAAGATTTCTTTTTCAGGACCTCAGGCAGATTATTGTGGTTGTTACAATAGTTTGGGGTACAATCACAAGCTCCAGAATGCCCTGTTGTTATAATTACCATTTGGACTTTGGTCAGTCGCCTTTAGTAAGCTGTTGCTGCAATAGATGCACAGAAGCGAAAGTGCATGTGGCATAATTTAGTTCTCAGTTTTCCTTCTCAGCTGTGCTTACCCTTCTAAGGACCTAAAGCCCTTAAGACATACCAAAAAAAGGGGAATTGCAACAGCATTACAGCAGCTTCCCCAGAGAAGATTGAAAGCACTTCATCTGGAGTATCTAGGCCAGTGCTTTGGAAAATGGCGGTTCAAGACAGCTCAGGCACAGAAGTGATTTAAAGGCTTCCTCACATCTTGAGCAAGTGCTGTTAGCAACTACGCTGGTAGCTAAAAGAACAGGGAAGTTTCTACTTGAATGGATGAGCTTTATGAGGAAGAGCTGACATAGCCACGTGGCTGGAGGACAAATTTGTGTTTGTGAATCCTGAATGAACAATGACACTTAAGTCTCACAGCAGTGTTTTATGCTATATGACTGAATCAGCTCCTTCTTGGTTATTCTGGATCCTGTGTTATGGCTCAGAAATTGCCTGCTGGGTAATGGAGACATTCCCGAGCAGCTTCAAACAAGGCATGCCATTTAACTATGGCACATTGTCCTTCTGTGATTGTTGTGCTCTGAAGGCTTCTAGCATGCTGTGTGAGGAGACTCACTACTTGGGTCTGGTCTGTGAACTCCGGTGGACAGCAAAGCATTTAAACTCCGAACCATAACTGCACTGAATAGGCATTTGAACCATATAGCAGCAGTAATCTGCTGAAGAACCAAGCTGCTACTGAGAGAGTTTCTTGGGCTGTCGGTAGTGTTGGTTGGTGTTGGGAATCTTACCAGGTGTTTCTGTACTGTGTCACCAGTGTCCTGCTGCTCTGATCTCATAACATGGTGGCACCAAACTTCACAGGTTGCTCAGGACTGCGCAGTATCTTTTTGCCTGTGCTGTTCTGTAGATCAAACCCTAGTTGTAGTAAGGCAAAGCACATCCCGCACTGAGTTCAAACCTCTTAGTTTTCACTTTAAAGCTTCTGAGGTTAGTAAGAGAGCAAAACTCACCTGTACCTCTTTGTACTATACATAAATATTTTAAGTTATTTAAATGCTGAAGAACTTGAAGCTTCAGTTGTAGTAGTACTATTGCTAGTATGAAGGCTGAGGGAATGCTCTTGTTTTGTCTGTGCTGGGGCTCCATCTATGCGTGCAGTTGCATTAATACAGCCTGTCTCTGTCCCTGCACTTTCCAGTAAAAATTCTTGTAAGGTCCCTAATAGCATACAAATAAATTTTCAGGCCACTTCAGAGTGTGAACCACTGCCGGTCAGCAAAGTAATTTCCTTGATAACTTCTTTCTCTTGTTTAATTTCTTCGGTTACTTTGGTATGTAGTCTTAGAACTGCAGAAAGATTTTCCTTGCTAACAGCTGTAGGAACAAACCAGTGATTTGTATAAAATCTAAGACGTCCCTATTGAGAGGGCCTCAGCTGGATACTAACCTTGGAAAATCTTGGGGCTTTGTTAAGTATTTACGTTAAGTATTATCTTACTCAGTGTGGCAACCTTTTTTCCAGGGTTGCAAATATAGAAAAAGACAAAAATGGACATCTTTACAATAGGAAGAGTGATTTCAGGGTAGAATACAGCATACTAGAGGAACTGGAATGTGGAATGGCAGTCAGCGGGAAAACTGAAAGTAAGTGGGGCTTTATTTGTGTTTTTTGTTTGCCTTTTATTTACTGTTGTTTGTTTAAATGGTTTAATAATCAGTGATACAGAGAGATTAGTTCAGGTGAAAGGTAGATCCTGATAAAGGGCAGTATTTAACCATGTGTGCTGCTTATAAGGAAGATTTTTACCATTCACTTGCAAAATTCAGAAGCATAAATGTTTTGGGCCTTCTGTGTTATTAGCTGTTATCTTTTAATTGTGAATGTAGCAGATACCACCCATGACAACTCTCGGGGAGATCTACTGTTTTAGAAACTGGGAATCAATTTTATGTGTGTATTGCAAAATCCAGTGTAGTCTAGCTAAGGTACAATAAGTGTATACTTGCCGCAACATAAGTTTTCATATACTGATTGCTGCCTTTAGATGTACCTTTAAACAGTTCTGTGTTTACATTTTTCAAATTTGTGGACAATGAATATTCATAGTCTAAATAGTGCCGGGAGATGCTACGCAGTCTGTCCTACAGTATCTGTTCCACTTACGGACTAATTAAATACTTAAGGAAAAAAGTTACTCCCTCGTCGCGGTACCTAGATTCTTTCAAAAGTAATCAAATAAACCACGGTATGCCTTCTGATATAGAAAATCAAAATAAGTTCAGTAAGGGAAAGGACACACAGAGACAACTAAAAATACACTTACCTTACATACAAATTTGCACCTTTTAATTAAGGAAACTTATCATGTCCTTTACATCTTGCAATCTGTAAGAAATATAAATCTTTCTGAGGAGTGAGTAAGCTAAAAAGTTCAGAACATTTTCCAGGGTTAAGAAGGGAGCATGGAAGTATGGATACAGATAGTGTTGTGAGATAATCAAGAGGACAAACATGAGAGATGTGAGGAACTACATGTGAGCTGTGCAGGAGTGTTAAGAGTATGTATGATCTTTTAGGGCATGTAGAACTCCCAAGCTTCCAATTTACTGTGTTCGGGTCTTTCAAACATGATCTATGTGCTTTTACCCATTCTGTGGTCTCAGTAGGAGCTAGTAGGGTCATGTCTTGGCTACATTTTGTTACATTTAGTCTTGGAATGTTATCCCTTCCTTAAACCAAATTTTTTAGGGCAGAATATGCACCTTCTTAGTGCCTAAGATGTATCCAGAACTTCATCCTCATCAGTGTTTCATTTATGGACTCATGAGGAGCCAAGTGGTAACAAAGCGAATAAGTGCATACGTGCTTGGAGTACACAAAAACATTAATTCTGCTTTAGTTAATGCAAAATAAATAAATCACATTGATATAGTACACTCATATATGCTTTCCAAGTTTTGGTTTTTCTTTATAGCTGAGTGTTTTGAGTCGGAGAGGTCAGAGTCTCCCTCAGAATTTTAGGGGAGGTGTCATCTGTCTAGGCAATATTCTCCAAACTCCAGTTACCTGATAAAAGGTTTGGAAAAAAACCCAAACTTTTAATCTAGATATGACTATCCTGTTGGCCCATTTAGAAATAGGAGCTACTAATTTTAAAATCTATTGACACCATGTGGGGAGATGTATTGCCCGTGCAGTCAGCTATATGCATGTTAAAATGCTTAGTATTATGCCAGTTGCTTATGATCAAACAGAATTTGCGTCCCTCCTTAGATGAAGTCCCCAGTTTATTTTGGACACTTCATTGCTCTTGTTCTTTTACTGAATTTATTGCACAAAGAAACTATTAGAACTGTCACCACCTTTTTTTCTTTTTTGGTTTAACAGAAGCTAAAATCCTGCAGCAGCTATCAAAAATACAAAATCATGTGAAGAGACTTCAGCAACAATTAAAAAATGTGAAGCCTACACCAGAATGTAAGTTGGGATGATAAATTTAAAAACATTTTCCTCTGTAGACAGGTTTCCTGCATAGTTGGGCTCGTGATTCTACTGCAGACTTGGGATACTCACTCTTGAGTCTGTCTGGTTTTCCAGGAATCTGGGAATGGAAGAATGCTGAAATGTAAGAAAGGGTGAAAGATCGTGCAGTTCTGTGTGGAAACAGAGAAACACACTAAGTGGTTTGGGTTTGTTTCTTCAGGCTGTTGAAAGCCAGGTATTTTCTATGTGTAACTCTTTGCCTTATGTAAAATAAAGTTAGTATTTTAGTGCCATCTAGATATAGATCCCTTTGTTAGAGGTCACAGAGTAGAGTCTAGAAGGAATTAATTTCTAGCCATCCACATGGCATGAAGTGTAAAATGCATGTTTCAGCATGTGGAAAATGCTGAAACAACTCTTTCCATTTGGATGTTTTGGAACTTCTGAGAAGTAGGCAGTGAAAGAACCATTCTCCTGTGATACTCTACTTCCTCGTGTGGAGCTCAGGTTGAAGTGCTCATACTAGCTGAGGGCTTTCTGATGCTAGATGAAATGCATCTCATTTGATTTATTCAGTGTCTATTCTGTAAAAAATGCATTCTCTTCTTAAGATGTCAGCAAAGATACCAAGAACTAACAAGGCATGAAGCTGAACTAAAAGTTTTAGATTATATAACTGTACCAATTTAGCTTATTATTTTTTTTAAAGCGAGGTCAGTAAAACATTGACTATGTGTTCAATGTGTGACCATAGAGATGTGCTGGCTTAAAACAGATTCTAAAACTTTTTTCTACCATTGCAAAATAGCTCTATACAGCTGTCTTACTGTCTTTCTCCATATCAGGACTACAGCATGCTGACGTTACAGGATAAAGTCTTATTTTGATGTTTCTTTGTCTTTGATGTCTTTGTAAAAGTAGCGACCTGCAGGTTAAATAGGATTGCCACAGCCTGGCGTAAACCAAAGATTTGAGTATGCTTCTTAGGTCACTGACTGTGTTGTTATAGAAAACAAAATTGGAAACTCTCCAGGATAAGGCTGTCTTTTTCTGTGAATCAGTTGAAGGTTACTCAGAATGAGACTTGTTTAGTGGAAATAAGCGTTTATTCTGTGATTTGCATCCAGTTAGTTAAATCACTGTGAAGTCACACCTTTTGAGTAAATAAGAGTCTGTTTTTCAAGGCTGTTTGAGATGGAAATGCATGCTTTTTTGCAATAAAGGTGTCTTAAGAAGTCTCTGCAAGTGCATAAGTTTCCCAGTAGTGCTGATTTACTGGTAAATACCCTAGACTTCATAAGTCCTATGCTCTTTTTTTCTTTTCCTTTTTAGTTGTTGACAAGCTCAAGGAAATGATGGAAGAAATTGAAAATGCAATCAATGCTTTTAAAGAGGAGCAGAGGCAAATGTATGTTTATACCTGCTTCAGCCACAAGAAAAAGTGCTTTCACAAGACACTGTGAAAACTTTGCATTAAATAAACTATTCTTTTGATTTAATCTTTTGATAGTGATTCCTGTTTTATGTAAATCAAAACTCAAGCTATCAATGTTAGAATCTTGATTAACAGCCTTTTAGAGAGGCTGTTCATATAGCTGTTGCAGTGATCCAATATAACAAATGATTTGCCTGTGAAAAGGCTTTTCAGAGAAAGGCTGCCGAAGAGATTGGATTGTGGGTTTTTTGTTGTTGCTGTTGTTATGTTTTTTTAAGTGGGTGGGGTTTTTTTTTTCCTCCTTTAGTGTTGTCATACCTGCTTTCACTGAAAGGGTGACTTCATTCTGATTGTGTAGTGCTTTATTACGGGATCCTTACAACTGTGCTGTCATCTGTGTTACCATTTCGGTTCTTAATCTTTGAAGAATAACTTTTGTGTGGCATTGAGCAATTCCAAAATTCATTTTCGGTGAATGAACAATGAATACTGTGGTCTTTTCCTTAAATTTAAGTGTTTTCTCTCTTTTCAGATATGAACAGCTTTTGAAGGAGGAAAAAACTGTCATTAATGAGCTCAGTCTCTTTGAGAGAAAAGTGGAACTATGGGTGTTAGGCAGCAAAACAACAGAAAAAGTTTTGAAATTACCATCAGCCAGGGTCTCAGTTGATAAAACACTGGAAAATCATCTACCTGAAGAAGTAGTAGAGTTTGAAAGATTTCTTCAGCGAACAGGAGGGCAACAAGGTGGCTGGGATGATTATGATCATCAACATTTTCTGAAAGTGTGGACAAAACACAAAGGAAGGCTGTCTTACATGGATGAAGTCCTTGAGTATCTCTGTGGAAGAACAAAGGAAGATATTGAACAGCATGAGAAATGGTATCAAGAATTTCTAATTTTACACAAAAGAAAGAAAGAGGTAAAATAACCCCTCTATGGTTTTTGTAGCTTTAAGGAAAAATACTTATTTTTAAAATGTATACATTTCTTATTTTTGTATCTGCATCTCTGGTGGTAGTGCTAGGTGGTTTTCTGTTATAGTTGATGGAATATAACTGCAGTCTTTAGCATCCTCATCTTGCCAAAAATTTTTGTCTTAAAGAATTACCAATAAGCCTAACAACACACTGAAGTGGGCTGTGTATTGACAAAGTATATTATAAAAGCCTTTGATGGCAGTGGTCCATCAGGTTAGATGTCAATCCCAGAGCAGTAAGTGATCCTATCTGAAATTGTGGTTCTTGTTACATCTGTCCCTAAGAATGTCGTACCATATAGGCAATATTCCTTCAAGAACTACCTGTCTGAATAATAAAAGATACACTGACATAAAAACTGAATTATAAAATAGTAGGTAGAATTGTTAATTTGAAGAAAAAAATTAAGATCTGAAATATGTTTGCATTAAAATATATTACACCAACATTCATAACTACCCAAAGTTAATATGAATGCCATAACTTAAATAATTTTAGCAGGCGCATATTAAACCTGCCTGTGTGGTCCATAAAATGGAAAAAAAAAAAATTGTGAGAAAGCAGACACAGATGCTTCTCTGCCTTAAGTTTTGTCTTTAGTAGACTTTTAATTCCTATCTGCAGTTTGGGGCCTCGTTGAGGGGCAGCTCCTCAGACCCTGCAAGGTGGCCTGCCAGGTCCCAAAGGGCTTGGTGTTGGGGGGCAGCACAGGGGCTGAGAGGGACATTGCTGCCTGGGCTGGTGTTGCTACCCGGGTGAGCTGGGGCCACCGCTGTACCCTCGCTTTTGGGAGAGATGGTCCCAAGGCTTTGGGAAGTTCTCTAGAAAGGGTATTTCCTGGGCAGTTATCACCAGGGAGATGGCAGGGACACTCCCCTGGCCTTGATGAACCACCCAGCCCATACCAAAAGTGCTGAGTGGAGATGGGTGGTGGGGATGCTGGGAGTGCCAGGGTGACAGGGATGAGAAAGGTGCAGATGTTGCTGGGGGGCCATCCCCACCGGGAGTGCCCAGGCTGCGGGGAAGGGCTGCTCCTGCCCAGGCAGTGGGCACAGGTTGGCTGAGCCTGAAAAGAGAGACAGGAGCGATGACCAGCGGTCACCTCTGCTTTTGCTCCCAAGAGCATCCCTGGGCTGCAGGGGTTGGGGTGGGTCCCCTATCTCGGGGATAGAAGGTTCCGGGGAGCACAAAAGTCTGATCCAGTTGGGACATCGGGGGGGCCCAGGGGCCGCGGGATGGGAGCTGCAGTGGTGGCCGCGCCGTGGTTCCTTCTGGCAATTGGCTGCTAAGGACTCTCTGGCGTGTCCCAGGACGGAATGTGAGGGCTCGTAGTGTTTCCCCCCACCCCTACCTGCTCAGCTCCTCCTGGGCAGAGGAAGGGTTCAGGTGACAGAGCTGTGGTTTGTGTGTGCAGGGAGAAGACATAAAAGTCCAAAGCTCAATTAGAGTTGAAACTGGACAGTGCTGTGTCAAAGAGCAACAATGGCTTTTTTTTAAGGCTGTTGATAGCAAGAAGACTAGAGAAATCATTGGAGCAATAACTTGTTGATGATGGTCACCTGGCTGATAGGTACGGAGAAGAAGCAGAGGCGTTAAATGCTTTTTTTGCCTCAGTCTTTAATAATACTGATAGAGCTTGGGCTGCCTGGTCCACGGAGGACCACAGGTATGGGAGCAGTGCCTTTCCCTTTGTGGACACTGAAATTGCCAGGGATCAGCTGTATCAGGGAAATGTTCACAAGCCTTTGACAGTGCTTCCCACAGCATTCTCGTGGAGAAACTGTCTGCCCATGGCTTGGATGGGTGTACTTTTCCCTGGGGAAAATACTACCTGGATGGCCAGGCCCAAGGTGTTCTGCTGAATGGAGTTAAATACAGGTGGTGGCCGGTCACAAGTGGTGTTCGCCAGGGCTCAGTGCTGGAGCCAGTTCTGCTTGGTCATAGAATCATAGACTGGTTGGGGTTGGAAGGGATCTTAGAGATCATGTAGTTCCAACTCCTCTGCCATGGGCAAGGACAACCTCCACTAGACCAGGTTGCTCAAAGCCTCATCCAGCCTGGCCTTGAACACCTCCAGGGATGGGGCATCCACAACTTCTCTGGGCAACTGGTTCCAGTGTCTCACCATCCTCACAGTAAAAAAATTTCTTCCTAATATCTAATCTAAATCTGCCCTCTTCCAATTTAAATCCATCACCCCTCATCCTGTCACTACATGCCCTTTTGAAAAGTCACTCCCCATCTCTCCTGTAGGCCCCCTTCACGTACTGGAAGGCCGCTATATCGTCTCCCTAGAGCCTTCTCTTCTCCAGGCTGAACAACCCCAGCTCTCTCAGCCTGTCCTCAAACAGGAGGTGTTCCTTCCAGCCCTCTGGTCATCTTTGTGGCCCTCCTCTGCACTTGTTCCTACAGCTCGATGCCCTTCTTGTGTTGGGTGGCCCAGAGCTGGATGCAGTACTCCAGGTGCGGTCTCACAAGAGCAGAGTAGAGGGGCAGAATCACCTCACTCGACCTGCTGACCATGCTTCTCTTGATGCAGCCCAGGATCCAGTTGGCCTTCTGGGCCGCAAGTGCACGCTGCTGGCTCGTGTTCAGTTTTTCATCTACGGACACTCCCAAGTCCTCCTCCTCAGGGCTGCAGTCAATCCACTCTCCACCCAGCCTGTATTTGTGCTTGGGATTGCCTCGACCCATGTGCCAGGACCTTGCACTTGGCCTTGTTGAACTTCATGAGATTGGCATAGGCCCACCTCTCCAGCCTGTCCAAGTCCCTCTGGATGGCATCCCAAGGGGATCAAGTGCACCCTCAGCAAGTTTGCAGGTGACACCAAGCTGGGCCGGAGCGTTGATCTGCTTGAGGGTAGAAAGGCTCTACAGAGGCATCTGGACAGGCTGCACGGATGAGCATGAAAATGAACAAGTCCAAGTGCCGGATTCTGCACCTGGGACGGAGTAACAGCAGGAAGAAGTCTAAGCTGGGAGAGGAGTGTCTGGAGAGCAGCCCTGCAGAAAGGGATCTGGGGGTGCTGGGGTATCCTTGGAGCATATGTCTTCATCAGACTGAATCAATGGGAATGTGTAAAATTTTCCTGAAAACCTTATTTTTTTTTTCCTGCTGTTCTCTTGCAGTCAATCAAGAAGTGGAAAAAAAAGCAGCAGCAAGAAAAAGAAGGAAACTTGAAGGAGAAAGAGAAATCAGAAAAAATGCTCAAGGAAGAATGGCTACAGTGTGAAGAAACTCAGAAGCAAAAAGCAGAAGAAGAAGGAAAAAGACAACAAGCAGCAATTGAAGCATGGAAGAAACAGAAAGCAGTAGCGTTTGCAATGGAACAAGCATCACTAGAAGAAGAGACGCAGAAAAAGCAACAGAAAGTACGCCAGCGCCAATGCCACATGAAGTTACTGTTGGAAAAGTATACCTTGCAGAATAAAGAAAAGGAGGAACTTGAAAAGCTTGAAAAGGAGAAGAGAGAGGAAGCTGAAAAGGAGGAAAGGAAGAGAATTGCTGCAGAAGAAATTACGAAGTTTCAACAGCGTGTGCGTAATTACATCTCCATTTATCATGTTATTATTTTTAAATTCACCTACTTCCTCCTGCAATATAATCTGTTCAACACTTTTTAAAATCCAGGTTTCATTCATTTAAATCTGTTTTTGATTCACTAAATAAAGTGAAATAAATAAAGCCAAGTGCCGGGTCCTGCA